GGTTGACGGGTTGGGTGGGGTTGGGTGGGGCTGGATGGGGTTGGGTGGGGATGGACGGGGTTGGGTGGGGCCCTGGGCACCCTGTGCTACTACTTGATCTAGTGGTTGGCAGTCCTGCCTGTGGCAGCAGGGCTGGAACCTGATGATCCCTGAGGTCCCTTCCGACTCCGGCCATCCTATGGTTCTGTGATTCCCCAATGTTCTCATCCTATGGTTCTGTGATTCCCCAACGTTCTCTTCTTTTCTGATTTTGCCATCGTGACCCCTCAGCTTTCACTGTTTATGAGGACGGATGTGTCCCTGAAGTGGACCTGCTGCTGTACTCCGGCCGTTCTCATTGCTGGCCCTTCTTTTCTTACAGCTCTCCCTCCCCTCATGGCTCGCCGATCTCAAAGCTCCTCGCAGGGGGACAACCCTCTTGACCCCAACTACCTTCCCCCCCACTACAAGGAGTATTACCGCCTGGCTCTGGACATACTCACCGAAGAGGGCAAAGAGAGTTACGAACGCTTTCTGGCAGAGGAGGCAGCCCCTGATTTCCTTTGCAACTCGGAGGTGGATCACATCCTGCAGAACCTTCAGAAACCCCAGTATGCCAACCAGGAGGGCAGCACCGACACGGCGGGGGACAACGACGTGGACGGATCCTCCGGGACCTACTGGCCCATGAACTCAGACCTCGCCGTTCCGGAGCTGGACCTGGGCTGGCCCATGGTCTTTGGGTTCAGGGGAACAGAAGTAACGACCCTGGTGCAGCCGCCGCCCCCCGACAACCCCAGCATCAAGGAAGAGGCTCGCAGAATGATTCGAGCTGCCCAGCAGGTGGGACGCGAGGGCGTGCGGGAGCAGAGACCACGAGCGTGCGAAGGACGCCCAGCCTCCTCCGCCGGGCTCCGCCGCGTTCCCCGGGGACCTGCAGAGCAGGAGGTTGATTCTGAGGCTGCTGCTCATTTCATCAAAGCCGCCTCTGTTCTCTGGGCGCGAGAAAAACGGCGTAGGGCCGCAGTAAAGGGTTCAGAGGATCACGGAGCAGCCGAGGTCAGAAAGGGAGCTCTGAGGGGGTGCAGCCCAGCCTCTGCTCAGTCGGCGCCCATTGGCTGCTGAGGGCGTTTCCTCGAGCGGCTCCAGGAGCGGAGGCCGCTGCCTTTGAGGGCACCCCGCTGTTAATCTGCAGGCAGCTCACAGTAAGAAGCTTTTCTGTAGAAGTGGAACGCCCCGCGTTGCAGCCTGTGTCCGCTGTCCTTTCAGTGGTGGCGCTGAGATGAGTTCCGCTCCACCCTCCCCACTCCTTCCCAGCAGGTGGTACTGCGGGAGCTGTTGGTAGCAGGTGAACGGTTGGACTGCGTGACCTTTTAGGTCTTTTCCAGCCTTGGTGATTCTATGATTCTATTGTTGTACGCTGATAAGAGCTGGGAAGGACGGGCAAATCCTACAGAGCTTTGAACCACGGAATGACTTTGGGTGGTGATGGAGATGATGAGGGGTTTCCCTTCGCATCAAGCAGCCCCGGCTCCCGCAGCTGACACTCACATGCCCCGTTTTCTGGAGCTGCTGTCAAAGCTGCGATTAAAAGCTGCTTCAGAAGGCATGGCGGCATCTAGAGGTGGCTCTGCTGACTCAACGTTGCTCAGGAATTTATTTAAAAGTGACAAATGTGCTGGGGGAGCAAGGGGGTGGCGGCCAGGCAGGTCAGCGATACCCACCAGCGTGGTTCTGTGACCAAAAAATGCTGCTGTGACCACTGGGTTAATGAGGAAGGGAACAATCAGCGGCAGTGAGGACTTTCGCTCGCTTTGCACCTCATATACACAGTGCACACGTCAGGTAGGAAATCTGTGTCCAGTCCCGGAGCCCACGGAATAGGAAGTTGGAATGGAGTCAGTTGAACAGTGCAGCTTTGGAATGTGCTGGGGGACACGAGCAGGGAGCCCCAGGCAGGCACAGATCTCTGACGCCCTCCCCATTTCTTTCCCTAGGTGGTAGCCATCGTCATGGACATCTTCACTGATGTGGATCTGCTGTTTGAGGTGCTGGATGCTGCTGCTCGCAGAGTCCCTGTGTACATCCTGCTCGATGAAATGAACTCCCAGCTTTTCCTCGATACAGCTGCTAAATGCAGAGTCAATCTGAACTACGTGGAGGTGAGCAGACCACAGACCAACCCGACCCGCAGTTCCCATCCTGAAGGGGTTCATCTGGGGCACGTTGGGCTGTTCTTGCAGTAAAAACCTGAGAAAGGGGAAATCTGGGCCAGAGAATAGAGAAATGTATACGTGAAGCCAGGAGAGCTGGCACAGTATAGGCCTGAAGGCAAAGGCAGGCTGATAAAAAGGATTGCTCATCCATTGTGCACGCAGACAGAACAGCTGGTGCTGGAGCCAAGAATGGCGGCAGGAGGGACATTAAGAGATAAGGGGAAAAAAGAGAGGCAGGGGAGGTAACAGCCTTGTCTGCTTTGCAGTTCCTACGGGTGAGGACGGTTTCTGGCCCAACCTACTACTGCCGCACGGGGATGTCTTTCAAAGGACACGTGAAAGAGAAATTCCTCCTGGTCGACTGCATGGTGGTGCTGAGTGGCAACTACAGGTGAGAAGCCCTGTGATGTTAATGGCCCAATGCCGCTATATATGTATGTTTGTTTCCTGGGTAATGCAGTTTCAGCTGCTCCAAGCGAGGAAGTGTGAAACCTAACTCAAAAAAAGTGTCGCCAACTCTAAGCAAACAACCCAGTCCAAACCAGAACAGTTAAAAGAAACCCAGGAGTGTGTATTTATGTTTCAAGTGCAAGTTAGATGTATGGAATTACCCATTTCCCATGTTTTCCTTATTAACGACTACACTATGCTCATAGAATCCTAGAATCCTAGAATCCTAGAATGGCCTGGGTTGAGAAGGACCGTAATGATAATTCAGTTCCAACCCCCTGCTGTGTGCGGGTCGCCAGCCAGCAGCCCAGGCTGCCCAGAGCCACATCCAGCCTGGCCTTGGATGCCTGCAGGGATGGGGCATCCACAGCCTCCTTGGGCAGGCTGTTCCAGTGGTGGAAATCAGGATGAATTTCTTCAGACAAGCAAATGGTGAAAGATGGAGTAGTGCAGCGGAGTTACTTGATGCTAACACAACTTTACTTCTCTTTGTAGTTTCATGTGGTCTTTTGAGAAGATTCACAGGAGCATCGCACACATCTTCCAGGGCGAGCTGGTGGCCAGCTTCGATGAAGAATTCCGAATTTTGTTTGCGCAGTCAGAACCTCTCGTTCCTCCAGCCAACGTTTTGGCAAAGGCAGAGAACCCGTTTGCCATGGCTCCCTTTGGCAATAACATGCCATTCTTTCCTAAAAAAGCACCCCTCATGTTCCAGAGGGACGACAACCTTTTTCCCTCCTTTATGGACAGAGTTGATCCAGACAGGTACTTCCTGTCCAACTTCCGGCGCGACGATTTGTTACGCCACACCGTGGAGGGGTCAGCCATGCGGATGTACAAAAAGGTGGAGATGGAGAACGCTCAGATGGACCCCGTCAGGGGTTTTCTCCGTTCCAAGCAGCTGGAGTTGGATGCTTTTAAGAGACACAGTTTTGCAGAAGGAACGTTTGAAAATTTTGCTTCTTCTAAGCAGTATGCCAGGCAGATGTTCATGAACAATATGGACGAATTTAAAATCCAGGCTAGCCATTTCCAGAAGGATCAGTTCTACCAGTACCAGTTTGAACACCCCCACCTTTCCGGCAGACCCCAGGGATTCTTTGACAGAATACGAGGTGGCAGGCCGGGATTCAATGAGTTGGAAGAGGGAGGACCTCTTCCCTACGGAGAGGGACCCAGATACCCCGAACTCGAATCCGGCTTCCCACAGGAGGGTTTCCCCTTAAGGCTGGATTACGTGCCTTCAAATTCTTCCAGGGAAGTGAGGCACGGCTCTGATCAGCTGAACCCTGCAGGCAATGGCCCAATGGGAATGATGCTCAGACGGCAGAATATAGGACAGAAGTTTATTTGCCAGACTTCTCCTACGCAGAAGCAAAGCCTGGAACAGCGCCTGTTCTTACAAGACAAAGATGAGGACCAAGATCAGGACAAGAACACTCAGGAAAATAGAACAGGTTTACGCAACTGGAGGATTTCTTCATACCTCAGTGCATACCAGTCAGAACCAGAAGAAGGTCTCCCAATGCCCATGGAATCGGAAGCATACAACGATGTTCTCGGGGATCCCCTCGCAAAGCACCCCACTGACCTCATCCCAGCATTCAAATCCCCTTTGTCTTTTAACAGCAAGTCACTGGCGGTTGAAAATGCCAAGGAATTTGCAGATCCTGAAAGAGGAGGTGAAGATTCACCTATGATGAAACAAGACGCCTTCAGGTCCAGAATAAATCCCTTGATCCAGAGGAGCTCAAGACTCAGGTCCTCTCTGATTTTCAACGCTGCCAAGTTAGATCAGCCTAACACAACAATAGAGAAGGTTCAGATGATCCATAAGGAACAAGTGTCCAATGAACTGACAAAGGACAACGAAACTATAAAGACAGCCACCTCGTCCAAAGTGGCAGAGCTTTTGGAGAAATACAAAGCTGTGGGCAAAGACGCCGAGCGAGCTACCGTCACTCACACCAAAGCTGTTTCTAGTTTTCTCCAGGAGGAATCACAGAACGCGGAGAAGAAATGCACCAAATCCCTGCAGTATAAGATTCTGGAGAGCAGAGTACTGGAGTCCAAGGACTCCTGCAGTACTTACAAGATGCACGGAGAGACTGACAGGGCGTTTGGAATGGCTTCGTCGACCCCGCAGCTCATCGATGCTTTGAGTAAAGATCCCTTAGCACATCTGGGCGCTAAAGTGGACAAATTATCGTCCCGGTTTTACCCGATAGAGAGTAAACCTGCTCTTCCAGAAAAGGAAAGTCTTATATTTGTAGGAGATACTCAGAAATTGGCTCTTCCAGAAAAGAAGGAAAGAGTGACGTTCAAGGAAGACGCTGAAAAATTGGTCAGTGCGGAACTGAAGAAACCACAGGTGAGGACGGGCACCACATCAGTCATCGAAAACCTGTCTAAAGGCCCGGGATCTGACAGCTCCCTCAATAAATCAGAGGAAGAGTGTTCCAAACAGGAACAAAATACAATGGAATTTTTAAGAAAAGGATCCCTACGGTTGAAGCAGTTTCTGAACCCAAAAGGTGAAAAGAAACTGGAGGAGGAACCCAATTCTGAGGTTGGAAAATCTGACAAACAGCCCATGGGTCTCAAAAGATCTTCCATAGGCGACTGTCAGGAAATGCTGGTGGAGGAAGAAAAAAACCATAAATTTGCAACGCCGCTTCCTCCCAAAAGCAGCCAAGCGACACAGGGCAGATTTCCTTCATCCACAGCCAACATTCTGTACAGCAGCAATCTCCGCGATGACACCAAGGTGATTTTGGAGCAAATCTCTGCTAACAGCCAGAAGAACAGAGCCGAACTGGCCAAGCAGCTGCCATCCACCAGCAATCCCGATCTTTCTAAGTCAACTATGAGCTTGGAAAGGAAAAGCGAGAAGGAGAAAAGCTGCAACATCCACAGGTCAGAGAGCTTCGGGAGCCAGAAACGAAACCTTCAGCGGCAGCCGTCGGAGGACAGAGACACCCTGCTGAAAAAAATGGAGAACATGAGGAAGGAAAAGAGGGTGTACAGCAGGTTTGAGGTCTTCTGCAAAAAGGATGAGCATATGGGTCAGAGCGAGGAGGAGTACGACACAGACGCCAAAGACAAGAAGATGGGAAAATTCATGCCCAAAATCCTGGGGACCTTCAAGACCAAAAAATGATCGTAGGAACGCTATTTAGTTCCGTCACTGACTGTCAAAGCCGATGGGGAAGAAACGCGTTTATGGTGGCTGTGAAGCTCTTTGAGGTTGGCGAGTGGGATGTGTTCAGCATTGCTCCTTTGGCACAGATTGCCCCGTAGGGTCGTGTGGTAACAGGAAACCTTATTACAGTATATTTAAAATAAAATTATTCAATTGCCAAGATGCTTAAAATAGCGATGTCTCTTTATCTGACGGTCAGGGAGTCCTCCCAGCAGTCAGGAAAAACAATTCCGCTTTCAGTAAGGAAAGAAACAGAAAAAAAATATAAAATCAATGGTTGAATTCAGTCAATGTCAGCAAAGCACTTACGTTGTTTCTCAGTGCAGATTTGGTTACTTTGCATGAATGGCCGAGCTGATACGGAGCTCCCTTTTTGAAGAATGACAGGAGAAAAATGTACACGAGTCACTTTTGTTCCCCTAGGTGTGACTGTGGTCTGGTCTGGCAGAAAATGCCCAGTTTTCCTACTTACTGCTTTATCAGCCTGCTGGTTAACTATTACTATTGGTTTGTTTTCTTGTGTGTAATGGAAGCACTGCATTGGAGACTGAGCCGAGAACAGCAGCTGGAAGGCCATAAAAGAAGAAAGTGACGATTAATTGATGGAGAAAGAGATGATTTCAGAACCATCGTCACGCTTTTCAGCTGAGTGAGAATTTAAGCCTTTATAGTTAAGTAGTGATTTATGTAACCCCGATCCATTAGTGGAGAATCCCTCTGAAATTCCACAAAGTCCATTAAAAGAAGGGGGAGGGCTGCTAGCATCTTTGGTTCGAGATCAGAAGCGCTTTACTCACAGCTTCCTTGCAGGGCTTTGGTATCAAGCTTGGGCACGCAGTGTTGAACACCGCCCGGATCAATCAGTAATTAATTACAGGTGCAGAACCAGTCAGGTTTGTGCTGATTGCTGTGTTGCAGAGCCGTGACAGACAGAAGATGCAGAGGCCAAGAAGCAGTCAGACACAGGCTTGAGTTTCCCTTTCCCTCAGCTTGGGCTGCTTCCACGAGCATCCCTAGGATTGCCAAACTGGGATCTGACTTCATTTTCCTTTATTTTTCCTGGCTAAGGAGGTGGGAGAGAGGAATGATCACGCACGGAAATAGGCTTCTGCATTTCTTGTTTCCATCGGCCGGAGTTACAGGTTTGGCTCCTGAGCTGCAAGCTCAGCAAACCTGTTGAGGCTCACGGCTGATGGACGGAGGCTGCTTCGGATCCTGAAGGTAACTGTGAGCCTGCAGCTGCTCTCGTTAGGATACTGCCTCCCACGGCAGCAGGTTTACCTGGTTTGCGTAGCTGTAATGATGGCTGTTTTTCTGCTCATTGGAAAACTTAGGAAATGAAGATATGAAAGAAAATTACCCAATCTCCAAATTACTGCTGATGGTGGTAAAAAAAAATAAAATAAAACAACTGTAAGAATCAAGGGAGCTTATCATTTTAATATAAGAAATTCAATCTAGAAGTAAATTTGAGAGGAAAAATAAGGAAGAACCAATCAAAATCGGGGGAAAAAAGGCTGAAGTAGCATTCTTACTAATATTCCATATTATACAAATGTATTCTGTCTCAGAAACAAGCTGTAATTGGTTACACAGCTACAAATTCATAAGTCAGGGCTGTACACAAACGTCATCTTAGTACTGGATCAGATCCGCTGGCTGAGAAGTCCCAGAATGAGCTGCAGTGATTGAGACACCTGTCAGACGGTGCAGATAGAGCCTCGCCATGCTCTGCTGTGTGTATACATGCACAGTGGTACTGCGCTGCACACCAGCCCTGTTTGGGTAACACAAATAGTTTCTTACTTCCCCCGCCTTTCACAGACCTGCTCCAGTATCGTTCTATATGAGACTCTGGGAACGGGATGATTTCTGTAGGGGCAGATTAGACAAACATCGTGAAATTCTGCTGTCGCTGTTTGGGTTGGCAGGATTTGATCCTGCTCAGCACGGTGTGTTCTGTGCACAAATGTGTTCCTGAGCAGAACTAGAATGGCTCATCTCTTGTGGTGCTGAGTCGGTCAGCAGCTGCTGTGGGTTCTGTGCAAATACTGCTGAATGAGTCATAGTCACAGAAAGGCTTAGGTTGGAAGGAAGCTCACAGATCAGTCAGTTCCAACCAACTGCCATGGGCTGGGTGCATTGTGGTCCTCCAGGCCGTTCTAGGATTCTGTGATTCTCTGGATCCCTATGGCACCCTATGGCATCCTATGGATCCCTATGGCATCCTATGGATCTCCATGGCACCCTATGTATATCGTGGCATCCTATGGATCCTTATGGCACCCTATGGATCTCTATGGCACACTATGGATCCCTGTGGCATCCTATGGATCCTTATGGCATGCTATGGATCCTTATGGCACCCTGTGGGTTCCTATGGCACCCTGTGGGTTCCTATGGTACCCTATGGATCCCTGTGACACCTTTGGGTTGTCTGGGCAGCCTGCTCTGGTGGTTGGTGACCCTGCACACAGCAGGTTGGAATCAGATGAGAATCGTGGTCCCATTCAACCCAGGCCATTCTACATCCTGCTTTCATCCATCAGGACCCCCAGGTCTTTCTCCATAGAGCTGAACAATTCCGTTGGTAAGGACAGAAGCCATTCTGAGGCCGTTACAAAGGTAGGGTTGCAGTCCATCACTTCTCAGCCTGAGCCTTGTTCGCAGTGAGCGCTGGATCACAGAACGACAGAATCACCAAGGCTGGAAGAGACCTGCGAGACGTCGGTGCTGCCCTGGACTCACAGCCCGAAAATGAGCTCCGCGCTCCTGCTGCAGTGAACGAGAACCGGCAGCTCAGAGTGCAGGTCAACGCGCTGTGTTGGATGCTCCCTGCACAGACCTCCCCCTCTGCTCTATCAGCTGTTCAGAGGCAGGCAGGAATTGCCTGTTTTATGAATAGAGCAGGATAAAATAGGATTTTATACGGCTGCATTTCCAACCCCCTGCCAGACTTAGGTGACAAGACTAGATACCAAACATAAAGGTGCTATTTTCTTTTTAATTTAGCCATAGACTTCGGTGTTTAGGTACTAAAAAATAAGATGGACAAGCTATCAATGGCAGCACTACTCACATTTTCAGTTTAATGCCTGAATTCTCTCTTTAACCATAGTTCCAAAGCTAACAACACTAACTTCTCACAAGTGAAGTACAATTTCAGGGACAGAGACCTATGGAAATTAAATAAGAATGTATAAAGAATCAGCATTTGACCAGTTTCAAAATGGACTCTATGTAAAGGACCAATGAAAACTATGGGCTGTGACGCTGCAGTCCCACTGCTGCCTGGTGACAGCTTCGTGATGCTGCAGCAACAGCACCTCTTGCTTTCTGAAAGAAAAGAAGTTGCCATCATCTTGCATATTGAACAGGGCATCCCTTGTACATTTCCCCCTGCAAACAGCCACTAAACTATACGTTTTTTCTGTAGTGCAACACAGAAGATTTATTACTGCAGTGCTGATATGATGAATACATGGTAGGTAGAGTATGAAGTATTCTAGCAGAGCCCACTCATACTTCAAAGGCTTTTCTACTTGCTTGCGTTGAAAGTAATCATCACTGATTTTGCTTATTCAGGCTTTCATTCGCTTGCCCTGAAAGAGTCATACATCAGTTAGTGTGATACAAAATGAAGGGCTTGAAGATGAAGATAAGGATGAAGAGTTCAGCCTCCTTGATCTTCAGGAAGCAGACAGTTAATTGTTCTGCTCGAGAAAGGCCTGGGCCGAGGCAGTGCCTCTGACCCTGCTGAAGAAACGTGACCGTCTGAAGACAGCCAGCGCTCCGTGATTTTCTGCAGCAGTGAAAATCAGGAATACGGACAGGACTCTCACGGTATGGGAGCAAACAGCTGGGAAGGCTGGAAGGCAAAAGGATTCATTTCTTTTCCCTGTTGGTTTGTCCCAGGAAAGCAGCGCGTTGTTCCAAGCAATGAATTCCCGTTCAGCTGGGACAGCTTTTATACTGAGCTCCCGTTTGCTGCTCCCGGCTTCGTTAGGGGGCTGATGAGGCCTGGTTTGAACTCTTCCATGTTGGCTCCTTGTGTTGCTGGGAGGAATTTCGTATCGGAAGAGTCTGCAGTGCAGATTTGCATATGGTTCCATAGGCCTGAGAATAACTGCCCATGGATGCCTTCGGATCGCCGGCAGCTCCCACGTTCGCAGTAATACGGAACATCTTCTTACTGCATTTCAGAAGGGGGTGAACATCTCTGCTGTGAAATTCAGTATTTCGTGGGTTCTGGGTGAGAAATAAAAGCCGAGGCAGTTAGGAATCTGCAAACAGCTTTCTGAAACACAAACAAGGAACACAGAATTTGCATCATCTGAGCAGTAGAAGGCATCGTGAATGTTAACTAGCAAACACTGAGGACAGTGTGCTGAAAATGGCATGAGGGAGAAAGGCTTTCAAATAGGAATGTCAAGGATGAGCTAATGGCACAGGAGCAAAAAAGCCTGTTGGGATAGTAACTATTCCCAAAGGTAGTGAATGCTTTAAATAAATGCACAAAACAGATCATCTTCCCCAAAATACCCTCCTGGTTTCTGCCAATCGAGTGGCTTGGTGAGCGTCTGGGCTGGAAGCTGCAGATGGAAACCAATCCAGCAATAAAGGTTAATCGTGTGCCAGTGCAAATGCTCAGACTGCTCAAACGGCCGAGAACAAGAGTTGCTCCAGCCTGGCTGGGTGCTGAAAGTGAACGCAGAGCAAGTGGGAATGTCAGAACTTTTCAGCTCCTGCTGAGGCTGCAGGAGGAAGATGGAGAAGTCATCATTCACCAAACACACCATCGGTCACAGTGCTGAGGAGCATCCACTGCCGCTGACAGTGGTCAGTGTCAGCCTTCTAGGGAACAAATACAAAGCACAGGCTGTGTGCAGCACGGTCCTCTCCCCGTTAGGCACTTACAGCAGCAGGGAGCGAGTCACAAGTACCCACAGATCCTCCAAATCACGTTGTTCCTGTCTTTCACTGAGAGGTGGTGAGGCTCGGGGAGGCTGTGGATTCCCCACCCCTGGAGGAGCTCCAGGCCGGGCTGGACGGGGCCATGGGCAGCCTGAGGTACTGCCTGGTTTAGTCACTGCGGCAGGGGGTTGGAAATGATGATCTCAGTGGTCCTTCCAACTCAAGCCATCCTGTGACTCCACAGTTCTCTTGAATGCCCGGGCTTAAATATTCCGGGGAAAAAACTGTTCTCATAAAGCCATCAGTCGGCATCAGGCATGTTGGAAGTGTAAGGTCAAAGCCACACCTCCGTCCTCAGTGATTACTTCACATGGGGTTTTAAGTACATTACCAGACAAAAGGCTGGGAATGCAGGTATTGCAGCACTGAGGATTAGAACATGAAAGCCCCTGTCTGAATCTACTGCATACCAGAAGTAAGTTACCACGGGTAATTTCCAGACACTTCAGTCAGCACACTCTGCAGCACTGTAGTAAAGGATATTCACATATCTCTGCAAGCCCAACTGCCTTATTAAACTCAGCTACTGGCACATTTCACTGACGCTACGTACAGGCAATGAGGCTGAATTCCATCTGAGGGGCACTCACTAATTAATAACTCTCAGCGACATCACTTGCCTCTCATCTGAGTTTCTTTACCAAGTTACAAAATGATGTTTGGTCACTGAACGGTTATCTTTTCTTCTGCAGAGGGCTGCTACTTACACAGGAAAGGTTTTCTTTTTTTCTGCAGAGGGCTGCTACTTACACAGGAAAGGTTGTTCTGTACACTTGCAGGAAGCAGCTGAGGATTTGCATTTGCCCACGCAATTTGTCTCCTCTGCTTCCCATTGGTGACAGTTCTCATCTGCTGAGGAGGTGGTGCAGAATGGTTCCTGATCACAGCACCAGAATTTGCATTACCTGCTGGAGGAAAAATGTGAGAGAAGGTAGGAAAATTGTGAGGACAAAGAATGCATTGAGGTAGGGACAGAATAGAAAGACAGAGTCAGCCACTTCCCTTCCTCTTACAGGACAAAAATACTCAGAATGAATCATAGAATCATCATCGAATCCTAGAATGGCCGGGTTGAAAAGGACCACGATGATCACTGAGTTCCAACCCCCTGCTGTGTGCAGGGTCGCCAACCAGCAGCCCAGGCTGCCCAGAGAGCCCATAGGTGCCATAGGGATCCACAGGGTGCCACACGGACCCATAGCAGTGCCATAGGGATCCATAGGCTGTGCTAAGGATGCATAAGTTCCTTAATGCACCCTGCAGAAGCATAGGTCACCTTTGGGTGCCATAAGGATCCATAGGGTGCCCTAAGAATCCATAGGGTGCAATTGGGATCCATTGAGTGCCATAAGGATCCATAGGGATGCCCTGAGGATGCATGGGGTGCCATAGGGACCCATAGAATCACAGACTCCTGCATGGCCTGGGCTGCACAGGAGCACAGCGCTCATCAATTCCAAACCCTGCTGTGTGCAGGTCGCCAGCCAGCAGCCCAGGCTGCCCAGAGCCACATCCAGCCTGGCCTTGGATGCCTGCAGGGATGGGGCATCCACAGCCTCCTTGGGCAACCTGTTCCAGTGCCTCACCACCTCTGCATGAAAAACTTCCTCCTCACATCCAACCCGAACCTCCCCTGGCTCACTTTAAAGCCATTCCCCTCGTCCCATCACCACCACCCTCACACACAGCCGTTCCCCTCCTGTTTATCCGCTCCCTCCAAGCACTGGAGGCCACCATCAGGTCTCCCTGCAGCCTTCTCTTCTCCGAGCCAAACGAGCCCAGTTCCTCAGCCTTTCCTCATAGCAGAGCACTCAACTGCAGGAAGGCAGTACCTACTTCGAACAGCAGAGTGTGTGATGGGGTTGTATGTCACACTGATCTTTGATGTCTGACACGACGACGCTGAGAAGTCTTTGCTCAGGTTGGACAGCTCTGCCTGGACACCGCCTGCACTCCCAGCACCCACGTGTGGCTGCTCGGGCAGAGGCGGTGTTGGCACTCTGAGGCTCTTCCTGGTGGTTAAAGTCGCAGGATTGGAATATGGAAAGAATGGTCTGGGTTGAGACTGACTCAATGCAGTGCCTCCTCTCTGCATTTGCTCCTTTGGATTGCCATTTATTTTCTTTTCAAGGATCATCTACAGAAAAAAGAGAAGCTGGTCAGACTTCAAACAGCTAAAATCAAAGCAGGGGAATAAGACACAAAACGTAGGAGACAAACGTGCAAATAAATTATTTCACAGGATATGAAATAATTATATTAGTACACCAGATTCCACTGATTATTTCAGAATGATATTGCAGGTAAGTCCTGATATATTGCAACTGGCAATTAGAATTCCTGACTCTGTTTCCCAATCCTTCATACAGAAACAAAAATGGCTGTTTACAAGGGTGGATGGTGATAGGAAAAAGGGAAATGGTTTTAAACTGAGCCAGGGGAGGTTTGGGTTGGCTGTGAGGAGGAAGTTTTCCACCCAGAGGGTGGTGAGGCACTGGAACAGGTTGCCCAAGGAGGCTGTGGATGCCCCATCCCTGCAGGCATCCAAGGCCAGGCTGGATGTGGCTCTGGGCAGCCTGAGCTGCTGGCTGGCGACCTGCACACAGCAGGGGGTTGGAACTGATGATCCTGTGGCTCCTGTTTGCAGGATGTCCACCATTGCAGTTGCAAATTAACACTTTTTCACAGGAGGATTGGTCTCCAAAAAATCATCCATTTCTCACACTACTGGCAGGACCTGGGGACGCACAGCAGCAGTCGCCTCATCTCTCAGGTTGATGGATCCAACACATTTTGTTCTAACAGGTCTGGAGCCCCAGTACAAGAAAGACAGGGAGCTGCTGGAGAGGGGCCAGAGGAGCACGGAGATGAGCAGGGCTGCAGCACCTCCCTGCAAAGACGGGCTGAGGGAGCTGGGCTCGTTCAGCATGGAGAAGAGAAGCTGCAGGGTGAATCAGTGCAGCCTTCAGCACCTCAAGGGAGCCTACAGACAGCAGGGGAGTCAGCTCTTGGGAAGG